AAAATCAAACCTGCTTTAAAACCCAGCAACACAACTGTAGATGTACAACTTTACAACAGCAACACTGCTTTAACAAAAAAGCAAAACAGCAAGGCTTATTTGACATCAAAACAAAAATAATAAAAATGCTGTCTAATCACTCTTGTGGTACTTTGATGTCACACACCGAACAGTCTGTGCACCTTTTGTGTTTTATTAGGAGACGCACAATAGTTCTTCTGTGGCTTTATAGGTAATATTTTCACATACACAATTTAGCAAAATCAGACAATATTGTGTCTAATATATACCACAATATTAACTTCTTATTATTGAATTGTTGTAAATAAATAAATAAATCACATTTGCAGCTGGTCAGTGTTCAAAAAATGCTGGGAAATCACTTCATGTAGCCCTACAAGAGTGATTACTGATAAACTGTCTGAAAAAAAGAAAGTCACGTTTTAGAGAAGAAAAAAATCACCCACTGACTTTCAAAGCTGCTACATAGTAACGACTTTCTACTTCGAGGATCTTGATAGAAATGTAGTGGAGTGAAAAGTACAATATTTGTCTTTCAAATGTAGTCAGGTTAAAGTCATAAGTTCCCAGAAAAAATAATACTCAAGTAAAGTACAGATACTCAAAAAGTGTACTTAAGTACAATACTCAAGTAAATGTACTTAGTTACTGTCCGCCTCTGCTAACAGCATGTAGGTTTTGGACTGACGGAGAGAAATGGAGGTGTGTGTTACGACTGGTAAGACTTTGGGAACACCATCAATATATTCTTATGTATTGTAAATGTACAGACTCTAATGTTATCAGAATTGACAAGATTACACTGCTAGTCATCAATGAATTTAGATGTTGAGCATAATGCTGGCATGTTTTGTTCTCCAACTGTAAACTATATGATGAGGAACTTCATGTGTACTGAATACTATAGGTGTATTAATCTTGCTATGTTATATATTTATGAGTGCTAACCAATTATGGGTCAGCATTTCTGAAAGCTGTGGAGCCACAGGTCACTTCAGACTGTAATAGATCAATTTGAAAAATGTGTAATGTAGCCTACATTAGATATATCTCTGTGTCTACTACATTTTATAGTGAAGTAGGTGATACTCAAATGTATAAATGTTTTGTGTTTGTTCTGAATAAATGTTGGTTCTTTACCATTTCTTTTTGTGTGAGAGTGATTTGCATGAGTGTGAAAGTAGAGGGCGCTATTGTGTTAGAAAATACTTCGTATCTGAGAAACGTCTTTCAAATGCAGGTCTGAGGGCATTTACCATACAAAATTTTATGGTAACCATAGTCCACCAAAATACTGTATTCAGTTGTTCATACAAAATATGTTATGCTATGTAGGCTATTTTATTACTGTTTAAAAAGTTTAATTCATAGAAAGGTTGTTACAGTAGGGCAGGGAGCGGTTTATATGTTTGCTAAATTTACATATGCCTATTATACAATGTTTGTACAAAATTTAGGCTATTCACATACAGATAATTTTATCATGTGAGAGTGAAATAAAATACATATAGGCCTATAGTTTCAGTAACAAGATGCTGTCTGTTGCTAATTGTAAATAGTGTTTGATTCGTTAATTGTTCTTTTGAGTCGGATCTTTTCGATCAGTTGAAACAGTTCATCGGTCTGAACGATTCTCGAGTCAACAACTCATGACTCGAATCGAGAACCGTCTTTACCGAGCATGCCCGATTCATGTTGATCCGAGAACAGAGTGAGCTGATAATATAACTTTCATGTTCTATTTAAATGGTCGCAAATAGCCTACGAGTTGTCGACAACTTGGAAGTTGCACATTAACTTAACATTAATTGTAGTTATGACTGAGATCATTGGATATATTTTTGACACCTAACAGAGTATGACAGCATGTATAGCCTAGTAATCGCCCGAGTTCGGCAGATGACTAAATAACCTGTCGCCATGGCGGAGAAGAGAACCGTTTCATTAGTGCATGGTAGGTTATTAATTTTCATTTTTGTAAATACAGCTGCATTATTCGCTGTTGCAGGCTGTTCAGTCTTGTATATTTGGTCATTGTTGAATTATTGTAGCATTTACCCATTGTCGTATTTCCTGTTCTCCGACCGAGTCCGACTGTTCAAAAGAACCGATTCGCCGAAATGAATCTTGGGTCGGCACTTTACGTGTATTGTAGTTATTATGAACAGTCCTTAAGTTGTAACAGTTTGGCAGAACATTCACATGAAAGCTACCATTTTATGGAGTTTCTTTTGTACTATGCTGATCGCTTACGAATGATAAATAAACCTAGACATGCCATCAAAAGTCATCGCTTGCCAAATGACTAATATCCCAGAACAAGACGCGTGCAAGAGTGTGCCTGAGGGAGGTGCGTGCGCGAGATGCTCTATAAATGGCAGTCACGAACTTTAGGTGCGAAACCAAAGATTTCACAGCTCTCTTGTATTGTTTTCGGTAAAGCCATTTGTGACCACAAATGTCACGTCCAGTTTTTCCTGCAGTTGTTTGACAGTAATTCCGGTGAGGACATGAAATGCGTGACAGACATTGCTCTCGTTCTGACCTTCGCCTGTATCGTGCAGCAGTTCGCACAGGTGAACAGCCTGAGAGACAGAGGGAGGAGAGCGCACACAGATGGGAAGGGGAAGAGAAGGGGTCAGCAGAATGCAAGTGGCCTGAAAGGAAGGTTCTCGCTGAAGGACGGAGCGCGGTGCTCGTGGCGCGCGGCGCGCGGGGATGATGTGTTTGTATTGGGAGTCACGTGTAAAACTGGGGCAAAGACTTTCGGCTGCGAATATGTAGCGAAGCCCACAGCATGTCAACAATTCGCATCCAATACCAAAGCCTACTGGAAACAGATCTCCCGTTCTCTGAAAAAGCAGAGAAGATTGTGTCGCGACTCTACGGCGATGGTCAAAGCCGGTATGTGCCGGAGAGCGCCCACGGAAGCGCACTTCAGACTGAAGGACACGCGGCCCTCCTCCAGAGTCCCGTTACCGACAACCGCGGGGAATAATCACTGTCCTGACCGGATCGAGAGGCTGAGAGTGGCCGAAGAATACTGCAGCAGCGCCTGGTCTTCACTGTGTACATTCCTCTTCTTGATGCTTGAGAATGATGAATGCTCGTGATTGACTTTGAAAAGACTTTTTCAAGGCAATTTTATATTATATTAACTTCTGAATTAAATTAACTTCTTGCACTACTTACACTTTTTTCCTATTTTGTGATTCATTATTAGCACTTTAAATGAACTTTACTTAAATATGGCCAATATCCACACAAAAAAGACATTAATTCAGAAGCTGGAGGTTCATACCAAAATATGACACCGTGTATTTACATTTTGGTTTGCATAATATGAAAGTAATATGGTGACAAAAATTGGAGAGAGAAAAAATCAGTAGTTCTTCTGAAACTGTCTGCGCAAGAAAATAAAACCTGAGATCACCTGTGCGGAGAAACCAGTGAGCTCCACAAGATAAAATGTCTAAAGAAACATACTAAATAATGTCTTGTCAAATAATGAACAAAGATGTGTAAACGTTTGTTTGAAATATCAAAATTCAATAAAGTCCCCACTGTGACAGTAAAAAGTAAATGTGTGTTTGTATGTTTGGTGTCTAGAGACATGGTTGAATGGATATTGGTGTTTGTAATCGTACTGAGTGAACTCTCTGGAGTTGTTTTATTTTATTTTCTCTATTAGCCTATCTCTTATCCTCACTTGAATATGAATGTTCATGGCGGTTTGCAAAGGTTGTTCCAAGCATGGAAACTGGCAAGTGTAGAACTTAATACTTTGCTCCTATTACTTTGACCCAGATAGATCTCAAACCTAATCCTATTGATGGAGGTATGTAAGTGTGTGTGTGTGTGTGTGTGTGTGTGTGTGTGTGTGTGTGTGTGTGTGTGTGTGTGTGTGTGTGTGTGCAAAGTAGGGTTATTATTGTTAACCAAAAACTTTAAATAAAATTGAAATAAAATAAATGATAACTGAAAATAAAAAATTAACTAACATAAAAAAATTTAATAAACTAAAACTAATTAATGAACATTTAAAATTCATATAAAAAATTAATTCAACTGCATCTCTGCATGACTTGTAGCTTTATCTCAGGTGAAGAGTTGTGTGTGTGTGTGTGTGTGTGTGTGTGTGTGCAAAGTAGGGTTATTATTGTTAACCAAAAACTTTAAATAAAATTGAAATAAAATAAATGATAACTGAAAATAAAAAATTAACTAACATAAAAAAATTTAATAAACTAAAACTAATTAATGAACATTTAAAATTCATATAAAAAATTAATTCAACTGCATCTCTGCATGACTTGTAGCTTTATCTCAGGTGAAGAGTGGCTGTTTGTTCTTGCACGTATTTATAAGTAGAAACACTGAATGACTTTAGTGGTTTAAACCCAGATTAATTACTCCAACAGTGATCATTGCATTCCAGCTCGAGCCATGTGCTTCTTTCCTACTAGTCATTACAAGAATTCTTGGAAATGGTTATTCTGCAAGTTCCAATGGGTGAACAAATGCAGTATAGAGCCCATGTTAACAAAGTTCAGAGCGGGAGAGATGTCAAAACAACATGAACATTAAAAGCCTTAATTAGGCTTAATATTATTGTTAGCTATTTTTTATGATTGTTTGGCATAATTACTGTTATTGTAATTCATTTTGTTATGTTTGCTTTTACAGTTTTACTCTTTCTTACAAACGAACCCTCTGAATTGTTCTATGAAAGCAATAAATTACTGTTTTGAAGCTTCACATATAAACATATTTCAGGAAGCGGCTCTCTCTACAATACAAGTGGTCAGCCATGAACCAAACATTCAAGTACACAAAACTGATTTTAGCCTCTTGTGGGTTTTTGGTTGCCATACCAGCCTGTGATTATGACATTAAACACATTCACACATGTTGTGGCCTCTCCTTTCCAAAAACAAGATTCCCACCAAAATTATGAACACGTTCAGAATCCATTATTGCAGTTTGCTGATGTTTTCAATCTGTCATTTAAAGAAAATCAACTGAAACATTTCTGGACTTCTAACTTGCAAGAAAGATAACTCAAGAAATAAGACAGTTTTAATACAGATAATGGTAGAAATTCACAAATTTGCACACACACCCTTGGACATTGAGTAAAATGTGTTTACTAAACAGAACAGCAGAGGGAACATCTAGTGGAGTACAAATGCGCCCAAACAGGTATTCACATGAAGAATTAGTTTGCCTGTATTCCCATATAAATACTTGTTGCGTGACATTTAAGAATAAAATAATTGCTTAGATTTCAGTTCTTTGCTCTTTTCATCTATTAATGAAGGTGTGGTGCTTACTTAAGTGTAGGATGCCAAGCGCTTTCTTCTCCCACTGAGATTAATTCAAACACTGCTCTCATGTAACCTCTCAAGGGGATCTTTTCCTGGTGGGTCCTGTAGGGTGTGGTTTCGTGAACATGGCCTGAGGTGGCCTGATCTCACACCCTGACATTCTGAATACTGATTGGCTAAAATAATGAACTTAATAAATTCCATCCTGGAATTAGGGGCTTTGTGCTGAAAGTGCCAGCTTTGGGATTTAGTAAAGCGATTTAGAGCTTGTATCCACACATTCCACATGGCACACATATATAAGAATGCGATCTTATAAGAGTCTCAACATCTTTGTAGCTCATACTGAGTTAAGAAATTTAATATTCAGCTGTAGGCCTATACTGTACAAGTAAAATAACAGTCACCTAAACTAATATAAATACATCTTCTTTGAATACCGCAGGAATGCATTTATCAGGTTATGTATGGTTTCAGTCTTGCTGAAGAAAAATATCTGAGGCAAACCCTTTGATCCCACATGATATGTCAGTGGTAATGTATGAAGTAAAAGATTAGATTTCCCAGTGGGCCATTGACGCTGAAAAGAATTGACATAAAAAAACCAGGTCAAATATGCAAATCAAAATGACGTCAAAACCTTGACATGATGCTGATTTGATGTAAACTGAATGTCAAACACATACCTACATATACATCAAAACCAGTTTCAGTGGGGGAATAAATTGCCGCAGAAACTGAATTTAAAATGATGTTACAAAGTCTTGACTAATATTTGATGTCAAATTTATAACAAGTTGCCCGCTGGGTTAGGTGAAAATTACTTATTAAATTTCCCAAACACTCTACAAAATAAGTAGTGGAAAATTTTAGTGAAATAAAAAATGTGGATGTCTTGATATGAAACCACAGTAACAAATATGTCATACTTTGTGTTGAGATTATGAAATAAAAGTTACTTGTTTGTGTTGTGTGTGTGTGTACATGTTTATATATCCTGGTGGGGACTTAAACCTGACTACACACAGACTCATGGGGACTCGTGTGACGGTGGGGACCTAAATTGAGGTCCCCATGGGTACAAAAGCTTATAAATCATATATAAATTAGTTTTTTTGAGAAAGTAAAAATGCAGAAAGTTTCCTGTGAGGGGTAGGTTTAGGTGTAGGGCAAAAGAAAATACGGTCTGTACAGTAGAAAAACCATTACGCCTATGGAGAGTCCTCACAAGGTGTGTGTGTTTGCGTGTTCTCAGGGAAGGGCCATTTATCTTGTTAACTCCCTTGCTTATCCCTTCAGTAATTTTCATTTGTGTGACTTAAGCTATTGTAAGTTTAACTTTAGCAGAAAAATATTTTAGAATGATAATATTAATACAGGAGGAAATCATCTCAAGAAAAACTGCACTTGATGGGTCAAAAAAATATGCTGAGGGAGAATATGAACTATTTGTTAGAGCAATACTGCCATCTAGTGGAAAAAGTATTATTTTGGTCAACAGAAACAAAACGAGGAACTGCATATGAATTTACAAAACATCAATATGGTCCGTAATAACATTTTATTTTCAAGTCTTAACACAATTTTGAAACAATACACCAACCAAAACAATTAATTAACCTTTCTGAAACCATTAAGTTCTGTTAGAGAATCAGTACACAAACATCACACCAAAACCATTACACTACCCTCCTATTCTCCAACACTGAAACTACTTACTCTCAAATCATAAAACATAAAAGATGTCAAAATAAACACAAATGAAAAAATGAGCAAAAGAAACCTGAAGATCATATATGGACTTAAACTGATGTAAATAATTAGCACAAATGTTTTTTCTAATCATTACCACCACACAGGTAGTGCAGGGCCTTCTGGTAATCTCCTTCAGTGTCCTCCTAAAAATAAGGGTAAAAGCAATGTTAAGATTTATTTGTGTTTGTGACAAAGTGTGTGTTTGCATAACTTGCCTGTATAGTGCTGTAGAGTGATTCTCCAAACTTCTTCTTGTATATCGCTCTGATGTCCAGCATATCCCGCTCACTTCTGGACACCATTATCCTTATGAGAGACTTATCATCAGTGCCAGCACGCTGTAAATAAACAAACCAATAATCTGTGAAATCAGTTGTTTTATTATCATTCAGACCAACACATTAATTTAATAATCAGGCCACGAGTTGTTTTTATTTTTCCACTTGGAGTGTCAGCAATTGATAATCCAAAATGAGCAGCAAATGATCCAATTCATGATCAGAGGAGGAAAAAAACAGATGAGAATTTCATGGAAATAAGCCTTCATACCCGCATAGACTCTCGAATGGATTCGGCAAAATAAGCAGGCACACTTTTTGCACACTTAACTAAAGGGGGGAGAGAGAGAAACATAAGATTTACATTTCAGTTAAAGGGACAAGTCACACTCCAGTGTCATTATTTACTCAACCTCATGTTGTTCTTAACCTGTATGCTATTATTAAAGTTATATAATATCAACAGTGATCATAAATATCATAAAAGCACCTTTATGTGTGGAACAGACTGACATTCAGGTTATTTTTCACAGATTATCTTCAAAAGCAATATTGTCAGGAAAAAAAGAGACAAATTTCAGTTCATTCCTCACAAAAATTGGCTTCAGAAGACTTGATATTTGGAGTGTTTTTTGTTTTGTTTTTTTCTTTGCCTTTTTGTTTTTTAAAATTTATTATTAGACCATGGTTGATGAAAATTGAACTGATCTTGAAGTAAAAATTCTCTAAAAATTTATTCCACAGAAAAAATAACAGCATAAGGTCCTGGAATGACATGGTGAGTGTTACTTTTCTTTGCATTTTCTTGGATCTTGTGATCTTCTTAGTGCACATTTTTATTCAAGCAATTGAATCTATTTTACCAGACCGAACTTTGCATGAACTATTCTTTTAAGTTTCAT